CCGCAAGTTGCCGTTCCAGCACCTGCTGCGAGAAATCGCCCAGGACTTCAAAAGTGATTGCGTTTCCAGAGTTCCGCCGTGATGACCTTTATTCAGGAGGCCAGCGAGGCTTACTTGGTGTGTCTTTTTGATGACACCAACTTGCGCGCCATCCACGCTAAGCGAGTTACCATCATGCCCAAGGACATCCAGCTTGCTCGCCGGATCAGAGGCGAACGTGCTTAAGTTTTCTTCAAATTAATAATAATAATGAAAAGGCCCTTTTCAGGGCCGCAATTTGATTCTACTATATGAATGTTTCTAACGGTGGGGTGTATGTATGTATGTATGTATGAAAAAACATGTAAAACATTACAAACTAATATATATATATATATATAGTAACAATAACATAATATAATAACAATATATAGTATATTAGAATCCGTCATACAGGGACACTTATATAGGGATATATATTATATTTTTTAGATTTATAAAAAAAAAAGTCTGGTATTTCAATCTTATCATAGAGGAAATAATGGAGGGGCTGTCCTGTATGTTAGAAGGTAGTCCCGTTTCACAGTTGACAATATTGAGTTTTATTTATTTTATTATATTTTTATTTATTTATTTATTTATTTATTATTATTATTATTATTATTTTTTTTATTTTATTTTATTATTTGATTATTTGTTTTAACACTGGGTGTGCGCCGGAGGGCGGGGGGTGGTTGGAGGGGAGCGGGGGGGGGGGGGGTCAAAATATCGCCGCGCGGGTGGGGGGGACCGCCGCGCGCCGGCGTGCGGCGTGGGTATAAATATAACGTGATTACATTCTGTCAAAGTAGTTAGTTTTGCCGTTTCGCTCGCTTCGGACGTTGTACGCGTTCGCTGTTCATTTTAGTACAGTTTCGTATCGTATCGTGTATCCTATAATAATATATAGCGAACATGACCGGTCGCGGCAAGGGAGGCAAAGGTCTTGGAAAAGGTGGCGCCAAGCGACACAGGAAGGTGCTTCGCGATAACATCCAGGGCATCACGAAGCCCGCCATCCGTCGTCTTGCTCGCCGTGGTGGTGTCAAGCGTATCTCTGGTTTGATCTACGAGGAAACTCGTGGTGTTCTGAAGGTGTTCCTTGAGAACGTCATCCGTGATGCCGTCACCTACACGGAACACGCCAAGAGAAAGACGGTCACCGCCATGGATGTCGTCTACGCTCTGAAACGCCAGGGCCGCACTCTGTACGGTTTCGGCGGTTAAATATTCATGATGATGGAGGTGGTTGACGATATTGATCATCATCATCATCACCGTCCGTCGTCATCATTTATAATAATAAAAGGCCCTTTTTAGGGCCGCAAAATTGTCTAAATTACCGATTAGTTTCCGGTGGAATGGATATAAGTTTTTTTTTACGACCATAGGTTAATAAAATAAAAAAAAAAAAAAAAAAAAAAAATATCACAATCATAATAATATATACTATACGCGCGTATAATACTCGCTCACCCCTACCGTGATATTATCGTTTTGCACGTTTTACTAAACTAGCTACACCCACCACTACCACCTAAGTAAGCTTTGCTTTGCTCTTACGGTGAATACTTTACTTACATACATACTTACACTCTGCTTAACCATGCTTGGCTAGCTAACTGAGGGTTCGAACGAATTAATGGATGAATGAATGAAAAAAAAAAAAAAAAAAAAAAAAAAATATATATATATATATATATATATATATATATATATATATATATATATATATATATATAATATAATTTTCTCCTTTCTTTTTTTTAATTATTCGGGTGTTTGTTTGTTAATTTATTTATTTGGAGAAGGGTATTGTTGTTGTTGTTGTATACCGTACTCCGCATTAGTCATTGCTAGCAATGTACCCACAGACAGGTAGACTACTCGTACTCGATAGGCGGGCTAACAGGCCTGTTTTTTTCTTTTAAATAAATAAATATATAAATAAATAATTAATTATTAATAAATATATAAACGCACGTTATTGGTGACGCGTATTTATTCACAAGTAGTGAGAGTTAGTTCCCGTAGACACTTAAGTGAGAGAGACGCCGACGCCGATCATATAGCGACGTAGCTAAAGATTATTGTTATTATTATATTATATAATACTTGAGATATAATTTAACTAAGAATTGTGTTGTTATTGTTTTGTTGTGATGTTGATCGAGACAATTATTATTGACGATCGGCGTGCGAACTTTGAACCGAAGACCGCTCCCTCCCCCTCCCCTACTCGTTTTGCTTTAATATTTATTTTTTTTTTTTTGTTTCTTTCTTGCTTGTTCGCTAGTTGGTTGGCTTGCTAGCTATCTTGTTTGTTTGTTTGTTTGTTTGTTTGCTTGCTTGCTTGCTTGCTTGCTTGCTTGCTTACTCGTTCGCTCGTGCAATATATATAAATTAATTAATTACTGGACAATCGTATACTTTAAAAAAAAAAAAATAAATAAATAAATAAAAATAAAAAATTATTTATAACCACCACAAATGCAGGTTGCATTCTAACAAATGGACAGACGCCGTATGTATGTTCTTAAGCGTGCGGTTGGACGATCGACCGTACGTCTGCCGCCGACCGCGCGAGTTTTACGACCCTCCACTTGAGACGGTCAAAATAGACGCGTTAGCGATGCGACGTTTGAATAATTGCTACAGATTCGAAGAACGGTATCTTCACACTTGTAACGTCGACTCGTACACGCCAAAAACTCGTGTACAATTAAGAAAAATAACTTTTAAAGTGGACCCGAGGTACTCGCGATACACAACGACAAAAATATACCGCTCTCGCGCGACGCACGCGAACCTCACCGCCTCGGCGGTGCGTCGGATGCGGAGATCAACTCGGACAGGTCACTCCGGCGGGTCGTCCAGACCTGAATATTGTGAATATGACGTTTTAGACGCAATTAATCGGACGCGGGCTAGTGAAAACTTGGAAGTGTTCATACGAGAAAACGTCTAGCGGCACACGGGTTCTCGATACGGTATTGCCGAAGGTTTCATCGGTCGCCATGTACTGAAACGCAGCATAGCAAAAATAAGTGTAAAATTGATTGAATAATCTCTCATCTTTATATCGATATTTACACGTGCGTAAAACAAACACACACACACGATGGCCGACACAGCTGTAGCGTCCGAAACCCCCGCACCGGCGACGCCGGCGAAGAAACCGAAGGCGTCCGCTTCAGCGGCCGGCGGCGTCAAGAAGGCGAAAGCCAAACCGACGCACCCGAAGACCTCCGAGATGGTGAACAACGCCATTAAGGAGCTGAAGGAGCGCAGCGGATCCTCCCTGCAGGCGATCAAGAAATATATAGCCGCGCAGTACAAGGTTGACGCTGAAAAATTGGCACCGTTCATCAGAAAGTATCTCAAGAGCGCCGTCGAATCGGGAGCTCTGATTCAGACCAAGGGTCAGGGCGCGTCCGGTTCCTTCAAGCTCGACAAGTCGAAATCCTCCGCCGGGGGCAAGAAGAAGAGGTCGACGGCGTCGAGCAGGACCGGCTCCGCGGGTGCCTCCGCCTCGGGCGGCGGTAAGGGATCCTCTTCGGCCTCCTCCGCCGCCGCTTCGGCGACCGCCAAGTCCAGAAAGAAGGAGACGGCCGGCGCCGGTAAGGCGAAGAAGGCCGCCTCGTCCGCCGCATCGCCGTCCAAGTCGAAGGCGGCCACCAAAGACAAGAAGGCGGCCGCCGCCAAAAGGAAACCCGCCGCCGCCGCCGCCGCTGCCGCCGCGAGAAAGGCCTCCACGCCGGCCAAGGCGAAAGGCGGCGCCGCCGCAGCCGCCGCACCGAAGGCCAAGAAGACCGCCAAGCCGCCGACCAAGAAACCGAAGGCGCCCAAACCGAAGAAGACCGCCGCCGCCGCTTCCAAATCGAAGACCTCCGCTAAGAAGACCGCATCAGCCAAGAAGTAATAATTCGGCGGTGCGGTCTCTCTCGTCGCGAAGTAGACGTCGACCGACGGACGGACGGACGGACGGACGGAGTCGGCCACGCTGAGAGCTGCTGTCACCTCCATCCACACCACCACGACACAACGACGTCGACCCCGCCGTCGTCGCTGTCGATAGAGAACGGATTAGGTTCGCATTTGGTGTGTGATAAAGTGTGTGGTGGTGCAGCAGCCGCAGTCGCCGCCCGGGTGCGTGTGATGCGATGCGCCTCCCCGCCGCCCCGCCGCGTCCCGCCGCTCTGCGTCCATGGACGACGACGACGACGACGACGACGGCGACGGCGACGCTGACTACGGCCCCCGATCGTGCGCGTGTGTCGTAGTGGTATCTGCAAACAAAAACAACAAAACAAAAAGCCCTTTTCAGGGCTAACAATATTTTTCTGAATTCGAAACGGTTTCTTGGCAGGCGGGACACGAGTGAGACACGACGTCGTAGTAGATTCATCTTCTTCATCAAACAGCAGGTGAACAGACGGCAACCGACCGTCGAACACGACGACGACGACGACGACGACGACGATTATATATTATATATAATAATATACAAGTAGTAGGCACAAGGTACATACACAATCTTCCAATAAAATCTTAATTTAAAACTATATTCTTAAATATATGCGCGTGCGAGCATGCATGCATGCATTCTATTGTCCATATATGCGTTTCTCCATCCAAAAGCAAGCAACAGTCGTCACCGTCACCCCGCCATCGCCATCGCCATCATTATCACCGAGCACCGTCTCTGCTGAACGCCCGACTGCCCGACTGCCCGACTCCCGACTCCCCCGATAAATAAATAAATATATATATACATACAACATTGTACAAGTACAAAGTAGTATAACACACAACAACAACGACAACATAATCCGTAAAATGTAACCGAGCAAGCAAGTAGTACACTGTCTGTCTGTCTCGCTCGCTCGCTCTACGTTTCGCTCTCTCTCTCTCTCCGTAACCCCCCCCGATGTGCTCACGTAGCTCGCTGCGGCCCCGTCGACACGTATATATATATTACGAATATTGGATTCGTTCATTACTTACATTTTGTCGTATCGCTCGAACGTTTCCCGCTGGTCGCGAAACGTTTGTCCTATTCCTCTGTGTTATATATTTATTTACAAGACACACGACACACAATATGTCCGGACGCGGCAAAGGCGGCAAAGTCAAGGGGAAGGCGAAGTCGCGATCCAATCGCGCCGGTCTTCAGTTCCCGGTGGGCCGTATCCATAGGCTGCTGCGCAAGGGCAACTACGCGGAGCGCGTCGGTGCCGGCGCTCCGGTCTACCTGGCGGCCGTCATGGAGTACCTCGCCGCCGAGGTGCTAGAGTTGGCCGGCAACGCCGCTAGGGACAACAAGAAGACCAGGATCATACCGAGACACCTGCAGCTCGCCATAAGGAACGACGAGGAGTTGAACAAGCTGCTCTCCGGTGTCACCATCGCTCAGGGTGGCGTCCTCCCTAACATACAGGCGGTGCTCTTGCCCAAGAAGACCGAGAAGAAAGCTTAAGAGGTCTCGCTTCTCGTTTGCGCTCGCATTCATTCACATTCACATTCACATTCACACTCGCACTCCGACTAGCACACCTGCGCGGCGCGCGCTCGCCGGTCGAGTCCTTACGTCGTCGTCGCGGTGTGTCTTATGTGTGTGGTGTGGTGTGGTGTGATGTGATGTGACGTGAATGAGAAAAAAAAAAATAATAATAATAATAAAAAGGCCCTTTTTAGGGCCGCAATACTGATCTGAAATACGCAGTGCGCGTCTCTTGAGGAGAAGAAGGTCGATTCCGCGGTACAATTAATCCGCGTGTATATATGTAACGAAGAAAAATAATAAATAAATAAACATAATAGTTTTTATGTACACACAGAGATCGAGAACAGACATAGTGATATATTAATTTGTAATACTTATTTTGTAAATTCATTAACTATTGTAAATAAACTGGCTTAAAAAAAAAAAAAAAAAAAAAAAAAAAGTAATTCAATTGAGTTTCTTGCCAGTTCTTCTCAATTGGATCTATATACCGAACTGGACGGTAGGGTAAATATAAAATTATAATGTAAAAATTTTACGTTCATAAGCGGCTAAAATGTCCTACATGAATAAATGATTTTTGAATTTTGAATTTTGAATATTATTAAAAAAAAAAAAAAAAAAAAAAAAAAAATAATAATAATAATAATAATAATAAAATTATATATTTAAAAAGTGTGATTTATATTAATTAATTGATTGTATAGCTCATATGATATCAATTAACACTTGTCCTGGTACACGCCAATATCAGGTAAACAAACATACAATTATATTAATACTTAGAACCGTATCTTTTCTTATTAATTATAACAATTTGTGGATATTATTATTATTATAATTTTTTTTTTTTTTTTTTTTTTTTTTTTTTTTTTTTTTTTTCACACAATGATGATTTACCTTCACAACGAATCACCTATATTGACTTTTTTTTTTTTTTTTTTTATTTATTATTATTGTTGTTATTATTATTCTTTAAATAGGCGGGGGGGGGGGGGGGTTTTGCAGTCTATTGCGGCGGCGCGATGCGCACGGTCCGCTATTGGTCGTAGCGCGCGTTACACCCGGTGCGCCCTCGAGCCGACCACGGTCTATATATATCAAGTAAGTGTGTTCGGATTATCGTTCATTGGTGTTTGTATCCACTCGTCCGTCGGTCGATTCTACTGTACGGCACGGTACGCGTCACTTTCGATTCTCGTTTTGTTTATTTGCGCATTTTTTATATCTTTTGCGGTTATTTGTTTATTTTTTTTTTTTTTCTTCTTCCGTTTTTTTAAATATATAAATAATAATGCCGCCCAAGATTAGCGGAAAGGCAGCGAAGAAGGCCGGTAAGGCCCAGAAGAACATCGCCAAGGGAGACAAGAAGAAGAAGCGCAAGAGGAAGGAGAGCTACGCCATTTACATCTACAAAGTGTTGAAGCAGGTCCACCCCGACACTGGTATATCCAGCAAGGCGATGTCGATCATGAACTCCTTCGTGAACGATATATTTGAGCGCATCGCGGCCGAGGCTAGCCGTCTCGCCCATTACAACAAGAGGTCCACGATCACCTCGAGGGAGGTGCAGACATCCGTGAGACTGCTGCTGCCCGGTGAGCTCGCCAAGCACGCAGTGAGCGAAGGCACCAAGGCGGTCACCAAGTACACCAGCTCCAAGTGAGGAGGTGATCGCCGCGGTGATTCTACTCCCCGACGGCGACGACGAGCACGAGCACGTGGACGAGGACGACCTCCATCAGCATCACCATCACCATCACTTTCTCCAGTGCCACCACCGCCGCCTCCTCGTCTCGTTTATAGTCGTCGTGCAACGATCGCTCTCTTTCTCTATCAAAATATAATAATAACAAAACAAAGGCCCTTTTCAGGGCCACAGAGTTGTTCAGTGTTATTGTAGTCTCTCGCAAGTTAGGACGGTCTGTCTATCCCTATGTATTTGTTTGAATATTATCTAACAACACACATTTAATAAGCCAATATACCGGTAAGAATATCACAATATCAAAATATATATATATATATATATATATATATATATATATATATATATATATATAGTAACACCTGTGTGTGATATTTATTATATATAATCACGTCACAGGCTAAAACATCCACGATTATTATGTACCTATATGTCCGACTGAAGAGAAAATAATAATATAATATATATTCTTTATTTTCACTTGAACAAAAGATATACCGATTAGTTTGATGTGTTGAAAGAGAAAATAATTAGCGGTTAATCGAGTGCAGGAAAGGTACAGGCAAAAAGGTATACAAGGCAAATAGAATAAACATACACGTACACGTATAGTAGTAGTATTATTAGTTTAAAAAAACAAAAAAGTGGGATTTCAATCATTTTTCTTTAAGAAAAAATGGAGATAATGTTCTGTACGTTGGCAGATGGTGGCAACGTTTTTTTTTTTTTTTTTTTTTTTTTTTTCGTCGTCCTTTTCCTTCAGTAAAATAATATTATTATAGATTAACAATTAGGTAAGTAATAGTTGTAGTAGTAGTTAGTAGTAGTCTTCTTTTGTAGCACAATAATCATCACTCACTTGCTCTCCCATTTGCACACACTTCTGCCCTCGCTCGCTAGCTCTCGCTTGCGGTCGCGCGCTCGCTATCTCACTCTCACTTGCCCCCCACCCTAATCGCGTAACGTCAGTCTCTCTACACGTATATATATATAAAGACTGGAGTCGGACTGCAGAATTTTTATTCATTCTGCCATTCTCGCTGCCATCGTCGCTCGCGTCGTGATCGGTAGTGTATTTGCCTTTGTTTGTTTGTTTGTTTGTGTTTGTGGTTTGTAGAGACGATCATGGCACGTACGAAGCAGACCGCCCGTAAATCGACCGGTGGCAAGGCGCCCAGGAAACAGTTGGCGACGAAAGCTGCCCGCAAGAGCGCGCCGGCTACCGGCGGTGTCAAGAAGCCGCATCGTTACAGGCCCGGCACCGTCGCCCTCCGTGAGATCCGCCGCTACCAGAAGAGCACCGAGCTGCTGATCCGCAAATTGCCATTCCAGCGTCTGGTCAGAGAAATCGCCCAGGACTTCAAGACCGACTTGCGTTTCCAGAGCTCCGCCGTGATGGCCCTTCAGGAGGCCAGCGAGGCTTACTTGGTGGGTCTTTTCGAAGACACCAACTTGTGCGCCATCCACGCCAAGCGAGTCACCATCATGCCCAAGGACATCCAACTTGCCCGTCGTATCCGTGGTGAACGCGCTTAAGTTTTCTTCAAATTAATAATAATAATGAAAAGGCCCTTTTCAGGGCCGCAATTTGATTCTACTATATGAATGTTTCTAACGGTGGGGTGTATGTATGTATGTATGTATGAAAAAACATGTAAAACATTACAAACTAATATATATATATATATATAGTAACAATAACATAATATAATAACAATATATAGTATATTAGAATCCGTCATACAGGGACACTTATATAGGGATATATATTATATTTTTTAGATTTATAAAAAAAAAAGTCTGGTATTTCAATCTTATCATAGAGGAAATAATGGAGGGGCTGTCCTGTATGTTAGAAGGTAGTCCCGTTTCACAGTTGACAATATTGAGTTTTATTTATTTTATTATATTTTTATTTATTTATTTATTTATTTATTATTATTATTATTATTATTTTTTTTATTTTATTTTATTATTTGATTATTTGTTTTAACACTGGGTGTGCGCCGGAGGGCGGGGGGTGGTTGGAGGGGAGCGGGGGGGGGGGGGTCAAAATATCGCCGCGCGGGTGGGGGGGACCGCCGCGCGCCGGCGTGCGGCGTGGGTATAAATATAACGTGATTACATTCTGTCAAAGTAGTTAGTTTTGCCGTTTCGCTCGCTTCGGACGTTGTACGCGTTCGCTGTTCATTTTAGTACAGTTTCGTATCGTATCGTGTATCCTATAATAATATATAGCGAACATGACCGGTCGCGGCAAGGGAGGCAAAGGTCTTGGAAAAGGTGGCGCCAAGCGACACAGGAAGGTGCTGCGTGACAACATCCAGGGCATCACGAAGCCCGCCATCCGTCGTCTTGCTCGCAGTGGTGGTGTCAAGCGTATCTCTGGTTTGATCTACGAGGAAACTCGTGGTGTTCTGAAGGTGTTCCTTGAGAACGTCATCCGTGATGCCGTCACCTACACAGAACACGCCAAGAGAAAGACGGTCACCGCCATGGATGTCGTCTACGCTCTGAAACGCCAGGGCCGCACTCTGTACGGTTTCGGCGGTTAAATAATGATGATGATGGAGGTGGTTGACGATATTGATCATCATCATCATCACCGTCCGTCGTCATCATTTATAATAATAAAAGGCCCTTTTTAGGGCCGCAAAATTGTCTAAATTACCGATTAGTTTCCGGTGGAATGGATATAAGTTTTTTTTTACGACCATAGGTTAATAAAATAAAAAAAAAAAAAAAAAAAAAAAAAATCACAATCATAATAATATATACTATACGCGCGTATAATACTCGCTCACCCCTACCGTGATATTATCGTTTTGCACGTTTTACTAAACTAGCTACACCCACCACTACCACCTAAGTAAGCTTTGCTTTGCTCTTACGGTGAATACTTTACTTACATACATACTTACACTCTGCTTAACCATGCTTGGCTAGCTAACTGAGGGTTCGAACGAATTAATGGATGAATGAATGAAAAAAAAAAAAAAAAAAAAAAAAATATATATATATATATATATATATATATATATATATATATATATATATATATAATAATTTTCTCCTTTCTTTTTTTTTTAATTATTCGGGTGTTTGTTTGTTAATTTATTTATTTGGAGAAGGGTATTGTTGTTGTTGTTGTATACCGTACTCCGCATTAGTCATTGCTAGCAATGTACCCACAGACAGGTAGACTACTCGTACTCGATAGGCGGGCTAACAGGCCTGTTTTTTTTCTTTTAAATAAATAAATATATAAATAAATAATTAATTATTAATAAATATATAAACGCACGTTATTGGTGACGCGTATTTATTCACAAGTAGTGAGAGTTAGTTCCCGTAGACACTTAAGTGAGAGAGACGCCGACGCCGATCATATAGCGACGTAGCTAAAGATTATTGTTATTATTATATTATATAATACTTGAGATATAATTTAACTAAGAATTGTGTTGTTATTGTTTTGTTGTGATGTTGATCGAGACAATTATTATTGACGATCGGCGTGCGAACTTTGAACCGAAGACCGCTCCCTCCCCCTCCCCTACTCGTTTTGCTTTAATATTTATTTTTTTTTTTTTGTTTCTTTCTTGCTTGTTCGCTAGTTGGTTGGCTTGCTAGCTATCTTGTTTGTTTGTTTGTTTGTTTGTTTGCTTGCTTGCTTGCTTGCTTGCTTGCTTACTCGTTCGCTCGTGCAATATATATAAATTAATTAATTACTGGACAATCGTATACTTTAAAAAAAAAAAAAATAAATAAATAAAAAAAAAAAAAAAGATTATTTATAACCACCACAAATGCAGGTTGCATTCTAACAAATGGACAGACGCCGTATGTATGTTCTTAAGCGTGCGGTTGGACGATCGACCGTACGTCTGCCGCCGACCGCGCGAGTTTTACGACCCTCCACTTGAGACGGTCAAAATAGACGCGTTAGCGATGCGACGTTTGAATAATTGCTACAGATTCGAAGAACGGTATCTTCACACTTGTAACGTCGACTCGTACACGCCAAAAACTCGTGTACAATTAAGAAAAATAACTTTTAAAGTGGACCCGAGGTACTCGCGATACACAACGACAAAAATATACCGCTCTCGCGCGACGCACGCGAACCTCACCGCCTCGGCGGTGCGTCGGATGCGGAGATCAACTCGGACAGGTCACTCCGGCGGGTCGTCCAGACCTGAATATTGTGAATATGACGTTTTAGACGCAATTAATCGGACGCGGGCTAGTGAAAACTTGGAAGTGTTCATACGAGAAAACGTCTAGCGGCACACGGGTTCTCGATACGGTATTGCCGAAGGTTTCATCGGTCGCCATGTACTGAAACGCAGCATAGCAAAAATAAGTGTAAAATTGATTGAATAATCTCTCATCTTTATATCGATATTTACACGTGCGTAAAACAAACACACACACACGATGGCCGACACAGCTGTAGCGTCCGAAACCCCCGCACCGGCGACGCCGGCGAAGAAACCGAAGGCGTCCGCTTCAGCGGCCGGCGGCGTCAAGAAGGCGAAAGCCAAACCGACGCACCCGAAGACCTCCGAGATGGTGAACAACGCCATTAAGGAGCTGAAGGAGCGCAGCGGATCCTCCCTGCAGGCGATCAAGAAATATATAGCCGCGCAGTACAAGGTTGACGCTGAAAAATTGGCACCGTTCATCAGAAAGTATCTCAAGAGCGCCGTCGAATCGGGAGCTCTGATTCAGACCAAGGGTCAGGGCGCGTCCGGTTCCTTCAAGCTCGACAAGTCGAAATCCTCCGCCGGGGGCAAGAAGAAGAGGTCGACGGCGTCGAGCAGGACCGGCTCCGCGGGTGCCTCCGCCTCGGGCGGCGGTAAGGGATCCTCTTCGGCCTCCTCCGCCGCCGCTTCGGCGACCGCCAAGTCCAGAAAGAAGGAGACGGCCGGCGCCGGTAAGGCGAAGAAGGCCGCCTCGTCCGCCGCATCGCCGTCCAAGTCGAAGGCGGCCACCAAAGACAAGAAGGCGGCCGCCGCCAAAAGGAAACCCGCCGCCGCCGCCGCCGCTGCCGCCGCGAGAAAGGCCTCCACGCCGGCCAAGGCGAAAGGCGGCGCCGCCGCAGCCGCCGCACCGAAGGCCAAGAAGACCGCCAAGCCGCCGACCAAGAAACCGAAGGCGCCCAAACCGAAGAAGACCGCCGCCGCCGCTTCCAAATCGAAGACCTCCGCTAAGAAGACCGCATCAGCCAAGAAGTAATAATTCGGCGGTGCGGTCTCTCTCGTCGCGAAGTAGACGTCGACCGACGGACGGACGGACGGACGGACGGAGTCGGCCACGCTGAGAGCTGCTGTCACCTCCATCCACACCACCACGACACAACGACGTCGACCCCGCCGTCGTCGCTGTCGATAGAGAACGGATTAGGTTCGCATTTGGTGTGTGATAAAGTGTGTGGTGGTGCAGCAGCCGCAGTCGCCGCCCGGGTGCGTGTGATGCGATGCGCCTCCCCGCCGCCCCGCCGCGTCCCGCCGCTCTGCGTCCATGGACGACGACGACGACGACGACGACGGCGACGGCGACGCTGACTACGGCCCCCGATCGTGCGCGTGTGTCGTAGTGGTATCTGCAAACAAAAACAACAAAACAAAAAGCCCTTTTCGCTCAGGGCTAACAATATTTTTCTGAATTCGAAACGGTTTCTTGGCAGGCGGGACACGAGTGAGACACGACGTCGTAGTAGATTCATCTTCTTCATCAAACAGCAGGTGAACAGACGGCAACCGACCGTCGAACACGACGACGACGACGACGACGACGACGATTATATATTATATATAATAATATACAAGTAGTAGGCACAAGGTACATACACAATCTTCCAATAAAATCTTAATTTAAAACTATATTCTTAAATATATGCGCGTGCGAGCATGCATGCATGCATTCTATTGTCCATATATGCGTTTCTCCATCCAAAAGCAAGCAACAGTCGTCACCGTCACCCCGCCATCGCCATCGCCATCATTATCACCGAGCACCGTCTCTGCTGAACGCCCGACTGCCCGACTGCCCGACTCCCGACTCCCCCGATAAATAAATAAATATATATATACATACAACATTGTACAAGTACAAAGTAGTATAACACACAACAACAACGACAACATAATCCGTAAAATGTAACCGAGCAAGCAAGTAGTACACTGTCTGTCTGTCTCGCTCGCTCGCTCTACGTTTCGCTCTCTCTCTCTCCGTAACCCCCCCCGATGTGCTCACGTAGCTCGCTGCGGCCCCGTCGACACGTATATATATATTACGAATATTGGATTCGTTCATTACTTACATTTTGTCGTATCGCTCGAACGTTTCCCGCTGGTCGCGAAACGTTTGTCCTATTCCTCTGTGTTATATATTTATTTACAAGACACACGACACACAATATGTCCGGACGCGGCAAAGGCGGCAAAGTCAAGGGGAAGGCGAAGTCGCGATCCAATCGCGCCGGTCTTCAGTTCCCGGTGGGCCGTATCCATAGGCTGCTGCGCAAGGGCAACTACGCGGAGCGCGTCGGTGCCGGCGCTCCGGTCTACCTGGCGGCCGTCATGGAGTACCTCGCCGCCGAGGTGCTAGAGTTGGCCGGCAACGCCGCTAGGGACAACAAGAAGACCAGGATCATACCGAGACACCTGCAGCTCGCCATAAGGAACGACGAGGAGTTGAACAAGCTGCTCTCCGGTGTCACCATCGCTCAGGGTGGCGTCCTCCCTAACATACAGGCGGTGCTCTTGCCCAAGAAGACCGAGAAGAAAGCTTAAGAGGTCTCGCTTCTCGTTTGCGCTCGCATTCATTCACATTCACATTCACATTCACACTCGCACTCCGACTAGCACACCTGCGCGGCGCGCGCTCGCCGGTCGAGTCCTTACGTCGTCGTCGCGGTGTGTCTTATGTGTGTGGTGTGGTGTGGTGTGATGTGATGTGACGTGAATGAGAAAAAAAAAAATAATAATAATAATAAAAAGGCCCTTTTTAGGGCCGCAATACTGATCTGAAATACGCAGTGCGCGTCTCTTGAGGAGAAGAAGGTCGATTCCGCGGTACAATTAATCCGCGTGTATATATGTAACGAAGAAAAATAATAAATAAATAAACATAATAGTTTTTATGTACACACAGAGATCGAGAACAGACATAGTGATATATTAATTTGTAATACTTATTTTGTAAATTCATTAACTATTGTAAATAAACTGGCTTAAAAAAAAAAAAAAAAAAAAAAAGTAATTCAATTGAGTTTCTTGCCAGTTCTTCTCAATTGGATCTATATACCGAACTGGACGGTAGGGTAAATATAAAATTATAATGTAAAAATTTTACGTTCATAAGCGGCTAAAATGTCCTACATGAATAAATGATTTTTGAATTTTGAATTTTGAATATTATTAAAAAAAAAAAAAAAAAAAAAAAAAAAAAAAAAAAATAATAATAATAATAATAATAATAAAATTATATATTTAAAAAGTGTGATTTATATTAATTAATTGATTGTATAGCTCATATGATATCAATTAACACTTGTCCTGGTACACGCCAATATCAGGTAAACAAACATACAATTATATTAATACTTAGAACCGTATCTTTTCTTATTAATTATAACAATTTGTGGATATTATTATTATTATAATTTTTTTTTTTTTTTTTTTTTTTTTTTTTCACACAATGATGATTTACCTTCACAACGAATCACCTATATTGACTTTTTTTTTTTTTTTTTTTATTTATTATTATTGTTGTTATTATTATTCTTTAAATAGGCGGGGGGGGGGGGAGGTTTTGCAGTCTATTGCGGCGGCGCGATGCGCACGGTCCGCTATTGGTCGTAGCGCGCGTTACACCCGGTGCGCCCTCGAGCCGACCACGGTCTATATATATCAAGTAAGTGTGTTCGGATTATCGTTCATTGGTGTTTGTATCCACTCGTCCGTCGGTCGATTCTACTGTACGGCACGGTACGCGTCACTTTCGATTCTCGTTTTGTTTATTTGCGCATTTTTTATATCTTTTGCGGTTATTTGTTTATTTTTTTTTTTTTTCTTCTTCCGTTTTTTTAAATATATAAATAATAATGCCGCCCAAGACCAGCGGAAAGGCAGCAAAGAAGGCCGGTAAGGCCCAGAAGAACATCGCCAAGGGAGACAAGAAGAAGAAGCGCAAGAGGAAGGAGAGCTACGCCATTTACATCTACAAAGTGTTGAAGCAGGTCCACCCCGACACTGGCATATCCAGCAAGGCGATGTCGATCATGAACTCCTTCGTGAACGATATATTTGAGCGCATCGCGGCCGAGGCTAGCCGTCTCGCCCATTACAACAAGAGGTCCACGATCACCTCGAGGGAGGTGCAGACATCCGTGAGACTGCTGCTGCCCGGTGAGCTCGCCAAGCACGCAGTGAGCGAAGGCACCAAGGCGGTCACCAAGTACACCAGCTCCAAGTGAGGAGGTGATCGCCGCGGTGATTCTACTCCCCGACGGCGACGACGAGCACGAGCACGTGGACGAGGACGACCTCCATCAGCATCACCATCACCATCACTTTCTCCAGTGCCACCACCGCCGCCTCCTCGTCTCGTTTATAGTCGTCGTGCAACGATCGCTCTCTTTCTCTATCAAAATATAATAATAACAAAACAAAGGCCCTTTTCAGGGCCACAGA